CTCCCCTTATATACCAAGGAGGGCATGGGGTACAAACCGAGTTCTTTCTAACCTATAGGCTTCTCCACCTGGTGTTTACGGTTCCTTCATCTTGGTGCCACCAGGTACTCCTTTTTCATGTAGGAGGGAGCCGACAATGTCACAACCACTCCCTGATGCTTCGGTGCAGCCTGGCACTTGACCATTAGGTGTTGTCTATCGCTACACGGTCTCCCTCGAGTGAACCTTCTCGAGGCTTCATTGGTGCGCAAGGAGACTCCCTCGCCTAGAGGGCCTGACAAGCAGGCACAGAGCCCTCTGCCCTAGGGTTTGGGGAATCCCTTGTCCTGATGTGCCACGTTCGTTGCATGACCTTGCCGAGTGAGTGGCTGATAGTGCCTCGTGGCTGTGGAACATATAGACGGTGTAGTGCCTCTGCGTCTATCAGGCTTTGGACGCATGATAGGTTCCTAAGCCAGCATCCGGTCTTGACTTGGGACATTGGTTGGTTCCCAAGCGATGGCCTAGGTGGTCGCTCATGCAGTCGCTAGGGTAGAGGCCTGGCCTAGGCTCCCCATCTGTCGGGATCCTGGTTTGCTGTGGCTGAGCCTCGAGCAATGGCTACTGGCTTGCTTGGGCTCATCCTCTTGACATCGCGGGGCTCCTTGGGAAGGGCAATTCGTGGGCTGCTGAGCCATCTCTACTCTACCAGAGGGTACGCGTGAGTGTACCTGATGGGTATAGCCCCCGAGCAATTTGTAGAGTCGGTTGGGAGATCATTCGATTTGCTCTCTCCTTCTCGGGGACTTAACATGCCCCTATGTTAGACTCTTATCAACGTCTATGGTTTCTCGTGTCCTAGAAGAGATCCCCTATAAAAATGGGGAGTGTTACAAAAAGATGAGAAGGGTTCCATAAGGTCGGCTCGTCCTCATAGGGTCTTCTGCAGTCCTTATTGTTATCCACTTCGTACCATCATGCATGTACTTGGGGTAGGTGGAGGATGTGCAGGGGAGAGCTTCCCACTCATGGTGTCAAGTAGTAGGGATAGTGTACTCACAATGGCAGGTAAGGCATGTCCACATCCCTGTGTTGTATGAGGGGTACAACTATTAGAGGTGTGTCACGCCCTAGATATGAGCAGCAGGCCTGTGTATGTCCATGTCACATCATGATAACAGTTTCATACAGTAGGCTTGTACCCTAAAACCTGAAGTGCTTCTATCCTTACTCTAATGAGGGTAATGTTGATGACCTAAGGTAGAGGGTAATGTTGATGACCTAAGCTATGATCTGATGAGTGTGTTCAGCTTGGAAAGCTGGAATGAGCAGCTATACAAAAGTCAATGCTTGCCTGCTTCACCATACTTTGATTGAGAGTCAAATGGAATAAAAAAATCGATAAAGTGGCTGAGGATTCCTCACTCATAGGCGCATCTAATAAAGCTACTTTCCATTTCTCAATTGCACATTTCATTTTTGTATATCTCGTCATTACGTTGTTCTTATAATCTTTGTTTTTATTATAAATGGTTGTTTTTGCCCTCAAGAAGCATTTATTTGATCTAGTATCTAGTGTTGTAGCCAAGTTACACAATTTTCTTTGTCTTTGCTTAGGTACGTATGTGATCATTTTCTAGCTAGAGAGAGAGGAAAGCATTTAATTGGCTATCTTATCATTATTAGGCGCATTTGGCCTATAGGATTAGTTAACGTCTTGCTTCAAGAGATGATGTCAAAAAATTTCACAAAGCTGGTCTTGTACACTCTCCACATTATGATAATGTTTACTCTCTCTGTCACATAATGAATGCAATCCTTATATTTTGATAACAAATTAGAGAACAACTAACTAAAATTATTACTTATGCCACCTGCTTCTCTCTGTGTCGCTAGAATTGTATTCTTTTGGGTAATATTTAAATGGTATAATTGTATTTTCTTTGTGTGGTTTTCAGTGAGAAGATCCAAGTGAACTTTGATGAAATAGCCAGTATTATAGATTTTCTAAAATGAGATGTAACAATGTGCTCCCTTCTAGAAAGTCATGTCTTTATAATAGTGTGGTGTGTAAAAACTTAATTTTCTTCTTTTTTTTTTGACTAACACTCTTTTAATGATATGACATTTGGACATTTAGAGTTGGTGCTCAGGGCTTAAAGATTATTTGTGGCACGTTCCTTGAGTCATGTAAACAGAACGACAATAAAGAGTAAGTTACTTAGTCATGTATATTTGGTATGGACAATTATTTTGTTTGATGATTATTGAGAATACATGTCTTCATCTTTAGGTGCACAAAGATCTTGCCTAAGATCGAGTGGGAATACAATGACATTTGCAACCATAGACTATACTTGAGGCAATTAAAAACTTTAAATTGTGAATTTATTAGAAAATGTTATAGGCACTTATTTTGTTCTCCATCTATTGGTCCTAGACCGAACATACAGAGGTGGGAGTAGAGAGCAAGTGAGAGAGACAAATGAATCAAGGGCCACCCCCTCTCCACCTTCCTCCTCCCCTTTTATAGGAAAGGTGGGTGGAGAAGTTCTCATTCTTTCTCCTGGTGGAGTTTGTATTTATAAAAGAGTTTCTAGGAACTACAACTTGGCCCTAAACATTATTTCACGAGCCCTAGGTTATGTAATTGGGAAACACACAAATGAGGGTCCGTAACATATGATACAACTAAGTGTGGCCTAATTACAACTCAGACCCAGCTGTGAGGATCACCCTTCGCAACCTATGCATATGCGCCTCACTAAAATCTCCGTCCCAAAAACCTCGGGGAAAAAAGGGTATGGAGACAATAGCACGCATACAACACTCGTCTATACAAAATAGTCTAGGGATGATTTTATCTTTGGCAGTAACCTTCGCTTGACCCTGTGCAACTTTATGCAGCTTGCTCCTTCACATGGCCTTGAGCCCTCGATATCTCTCTTCATAACTGAACCTTTGCCAAATAAATTGATGTAGGTGAAGTACTTGACGTAGGTAATTGTAGACGATCATGACACATCTTCAAGCTTTCGCTCAGGGGCACAATAGTATTATCTAGGAGGCGAAAACCAATTCTTTGCTTCTTTGAACCGTGGGAATAGATGTATGGCCGACTAACATATGGGCTTGGATACTCATCATCGACTAACATATATTGCTTTGCTTCTTACTACTTCTGAAATAGTATAGATTTGATAATTATGATTTCCAAAGTTCCATGGTAATTGTTGACACCCAAAATTGTCCAAAGTGTATAACGGAGTCCACCATCATGTTTCCATCATCAAGACGATCAGAAAGAATACTTGGATCATCTCATTTGGGGCCTGGACGAAGAAAATAGCTTAATGATTACGGTAATGCTGCGGTGTGGACATCCGAACGAACGCCGCCTCACAAAAAAAATCTCCCACTCTGCCTTGCGCGCTCGCCGCAAGCTTCGCTCCCCGTCCGCCGCCGCTAGCGGCGACCACCTGCGCTTCCTCCATCCCGGGACCTAACCCGCCTCCGTGACGCCAGGCTCCGCTGCTGGAGTCGCGCCTCCTGCCAACGCCGACGTTGGCGTCCTCCTCATCACCTCCTCCTGTGGCCGGAGACGGTGAGGGCGTCGCGGTCGTGCCGTACTTTGCACCTGCCTCGAGGCTCCTCGCGCCCCAGTGCCCCCAGCGAAGAAACTCGCGATGACAAAGTCTATGGTGCTCTTCGCTCCGCCGCCTCCCAGCCCTGATCTGCCCATCGAGGCGGTTATCGAGTTCCTCAACACGCCTGACATAGAGGTCGCCGCCCACTAGAGTGTCGCGTCTGACATGTTGCAAGCATATGTTTCAAGTGTTTCAGATGTTTCAGAGGTATGTTGCAATTGCTTCATATGGATGTTACAAAAGTAGAGCGGGATGTTGCATATGTTGCAATGGCTATACACATATGTTGCTAACGTCTGTTCTAAATGTTTTATCTATTTTTTCAGACGTAAGTTATAATTGTGTTTATCTGGATGTTGCATATGTTTCATATATATGTTGCAATTGTTTCACCTGGATGTTACATATGCTTACAATGACTTTCAATTGTTTTTTAGTGTTTTGCAATTGTTTCATCCATTTTGAACATATGGTGTAGATGATGCAAAGTAGATTGAGTATTGCGCATGTTACAATGCGCGTGAGAAACGGAAGGGGTGTGAGCTGTCCCCGCACGTGGTCTGGTGTGCGGGCGACGTCCGGGTGGCACGGGCCCGCGTGGGCGCGTGAAATGTAAGCGCGGGCGTGGAGTGCATGCACGCATACGGAAAACAAAGTGGAGACGTGAACGTCTGGACGCTAGCACTGCCCTAATGATCGGTGAATCCCACGTTACCTGTAAAACCCAAGCATTACACATGTCCGAGTGAGGCCTCCTACATCTCCGTCTGTCGTGGCATTGCATTACCACCTCTGCACGTGGGATTATACTCATGAAGATGAAAGGATTTCAGTTTGATCAAGACGGCAACGAATATGGGACGCCTGACAATGCCACGCAACACACAGTTCGTACACGCCAAAAGAAAAAGGCACAGCTCGTTTTACTCCCATGCAATTTCATCAATCATCAGTCGTTGCATTCTCCGTAAGGGCCCCCACCAATACCACTTACTACTGTTTCTTGATATAAACAAAATTATGACAAGGAAAAAATAGAGGACTGAACTGATCCGCTCATCGTTTAACTAGATCATGCAGTTGAAGGTACAAGAAACATTGCTTCAGACATGTGCAGTTGAACCAGGGGTGTGTTTCTCAACAACACTATCAACATCAAGAAACACGCTAAAACAACAGTAACTTTGGCATGAACAAGCACCTCTAGTTGCTGCATAGTAGTACAGTAGTATCTCGTTTATTGTCCGCATCTTTCCTGTACACCTGGAAGTGACTCGATTTACTCATTTACAATGAGAGGGTGCCTGTTAAAAGCAGCACCAACCACATCTTCTGGACTAAACTCATAGCTCCAAAAACTATATCTGGGTCAAACTAATCAACAGAAGTGTATTCTTGTGACTGGATGATCCTTGTCAGCTGCCTCAGGTTTGCTAATACATGTCTTGGCCCGAGGCTTTCAGCGCCAATGTAATTCAGAAGTTGCTCGATATCCTGAAAAAAAAAAGCACAATGATGCAAAAAAAAAAAGGAATATGAAGTACAATCGTATGATTTCTGATAGCCACACATTCCAGGCGCTGGGAATATAGATCTTTATGCATTTATCAATTGCTCTATGTGACACTATTTTCTTTGTTGGATTCTTTGTTCCTCTCCACTTTATATGTTGTTCAGAAACATGGTAACATCTTTGTGAGCTGACACTTTTGGTACTTCCACATCATGCTATCAAATTCAGTTAACATTGATTTCTTATCCTACACTCATTCACCCACTCTAGATCCAAACCACAGGTAGATCCTGCCCAAATTAGTATTTGAGACCACCTATTTGTTTACTTGAGAAGGGCAGGCCTGGTGCAGTGGTGAGAGCTATCTCACTGAGTCACCAGGTCGCGGGTTCGAAGCAGCCTCTCCGCAGATTTTGCGGGGGAAAGGCTTGCCTTGGTTTTTCCCTTCCCCAGACCCCACTCATGTGGGAGCCTCCGGCACTAGGTCTGCACCCCCCACCCCCCTATTTGTTTACTTGAGGCTGAATCAAGCTTCAAGGGGATTTGCAAAACAGAAATAGGCAGGCCTTTCTTTCAGAAAACATCTTCCAAGGACCATAATCAATGTTATTAAATGCTCAATTCACATTAAAATATCAAATAAATATCCAAATAGCAAGAAGACCAACCTTGTTCAACAAGAATATCGCATATGCTGATCTTGTTGTCTCCTGGCTGTCAAGAAACAGAGGGAATTCCATTGTTCTCATGCTTGTGCTAGGAGGGACAGAAGTTGCTACTGAGGTTATAGATGATGGCTCAACTGAAGGAGCAGGAACAAGAACATATGACCGTGAACCTCCAAAGCGCAAAGGATATCGAAGAGGAACATTGAGATACGATGCAATGAGGGAGACTGCCTATGATTCATAAGAAACACAGTTAGGTCTATCACCATAAAATAGAGTACAAAACTGAAGAACACTGTTCAGCTACAAGTGTAACCTAATCTGAACATATATTCTTTCTAAAACAGAACAAAAAGTATAAAAATTAATATTTCTCTAGCAAAGAAATTGGAAATACTAGATGAATTATTGAATGGTGAATTCAATTATCATTTGATAATAATCAAACTATATTATACATACATGAGCAGCATATCCCAGAACAGTAGAAGATTTCTGAGCACCTGTCTTGTCACTAAAGTAGCCAGTCTTTTTCACAGAAAGCTTTGATAACTGTAGACCCAATATGACCAAAGGTCTGTTTTGGGACCCATTTGGCAACCCTGATTCAGCATTTCCTGAAAAAAAAATTATAGTATTTAAGTTTTGACAAGAATTGCAGAAACAACATTTAAGGACAAAGAGTCTTAGGGCAGGTAAACTGGCAACAATATTTTAGAGGACTAGCTCTCTATCCATTAAGTCTGACAAAAATATAAAAGTTTCATGTTTCAAATAACTCTTTCAGTATCATAGAAAAATTTTACACTTGTTAGAATCAATTTCAGCAATTTGTATTATCAAATGTACTATCTGGCAACTAGGAAATTGTAGCTTAGTCAATAATCAACTGTAATCATACACTGATATGACCATAATTATAACTATTATTTGCCTATCATCTGGCCATCCCCTATTTTTCGATTATTAAGGTCTGTTATTGAACAACAATGTTTACAATAATTTTATGGTCAAAAAATATAGCCATAGAATTTTATAGCAATTCTGAATACGGAATGGAAACCCCATGGAAGTTGCAATGCAGGAAATGACATACTTGTTTTGGTTATGTTGGAGGTAAATCCAGGCTTGTGATCTGGAGATTGTTCATCCAAAGGGCTCACAGGATATATCTGAGCAACTTGCGCAATCATATATTGCTGTCTCATCCGTAACTTCTGTTCCAGATTTTTAAGGTGTCCACAACCATTTTCCCCTGACAGCAATTTATTAGCTTCCTATAACCAGAAAAATGAAATACTCTGGTAAGATTAGACATTAGAGGAATAGAACAGCTCCATAGTATCCAGTTTGAATGTATAGGAAATTTCTCTGCCCTAGAATCAACATTTTGTGAACCCATAAGCACCAAGCAACACATTGAAGAGTACATCTTACACAAGTTAGACAGACTATCAAGGAAGCTACTTTGCCCAACACCCTGCGTATTTTTGTAGCACTTTGATTTTGTGCTGACAGTATCCTTAGAGCTCCAAAGGGAAACAAAACACAATAATTGAATACCTTCAGATTACCGTGGGCAGCGTCAAGAGCCTTGCTTGCCACTGACAACGTTCTGATCTTGACACAAAGCTGTTCCCTGTGATCCACAACATCCTCCGACAATTTCTTCGTGCGCAGCTTCAGATCCCCCAGACGATCAGTATGCCCTTGCAGTCTCTGCCTCATTTCAGCCAACTCATTGTCTTGCTCGAGAAATTCCTGGCGAACCTGTCAACGAACACCATTACGTCACAAATCTGCAACACTCTGGTGTACACACAAAGGTAACATGAGCAAAATACATGGAGAATTACTCCATGGACGCTGTTCAATCTTCAGATTTGGGAGTGCAGGTTTTCCTCTTGAAAGGTTGGGAAAACGAATTCGATCTTTCCAATTGATGATCGACAAGAGAAGCGCCAAGATCCGTGGAGCATCGAATGACAGAGGGCACAACAGGGGATCCGAGCAATTTTGCTGGGAATCGAGAGCAATGAGCGCGCCACCTGAATCGACAGACAATTACCTGTAGCGCGGACTCGAGGCGCGCAGCGAGGTGCGCCTTGCGATCCCCGGCGGGCTGGAGCGCGGCGGAGAGGCTCCAGAGGCGCGCGAGTTCCTGCTGCAGGTCGTCCCAGTGGATGACCTTGGGCGCGTGGGCCCCCTCGACCTCGCTGGCCGGCACGAGCACCCAGCCGTCCCCCTCCTCCTCCGGCGGTTGCGGGTGCGGGAGCATGGAAGGAGGAGGGTGAAGGGGAGGGTCAGGTGCGGCGGACGACGGCGCCGGGTACTCCATCGCCGCGGATCATGCCCGCGGGTGAGGGGTCGGGGGAAGGCGCGAGCTTCGCATGGGCGGGCGGAGGGGGCAAGGGGGCTCGTGGCCTTGTGGTAAGGTTTGGGGTCGCTCTGGGAAGCAGGAGCACGAGTGCGCCGTCGGTTCCTTCTCCGGCGAGCGGCGGCGACTGCTTTCGGTTGGGTTTGGTTTGGCTTGGCCTGGCCTTGGGGGAATCGTGGGGTCCATCTCGTGGTAAGCAGGCCTACCTATGGCCCGTTGTCCCACTTTGGGCCCGGTACTTTGCCTAGCTTGGGTTGGGCCTAACTTTCCGTTTTGCGGCCATTTTGCGCAGGAACAGGAACAGTTGGGTTCGGCCCCAACTTTCTTTCTGTGAATCTGGTTGACCCACCAAAAACTTGCAGCTTTTTATTACTGTCCTGGCAGTACAGAGCCCAGATAAATTCGATTCAGAGTCGCAGACTAACAAATTGGACTGGAAATCATATTTGAAATTTGGGTTCTGCGCCAAAATTCCCAGTTTCTTTGGCAACCGCATCTTCTACAATACTTTGAATTTGATGGGTTTCCAAAAGAGACCTAGATCACACAAATAAAATCAGGTGGGGAGTCTTTCCCCCCGTTGACAGAAGAAAAAAAACAGTTTCAGCATTACTATTATTTTTATAAACGAAACACGCACTGATCTTGGAATGGCAATAAGTATTGTAGCCCACGTGGCCATGTCGCACATAAACATGCAGCCATGCACGAGGAAGCCAAAGATACAACAAAACAAGCGCCCTATTCGCTTGACTTATAAGCCGTACTTTTTCAGCCAACGAATAATATTTTTCTCTCACAACAAATCAGCCAACGGTACTTTCAACCATGGCTTATCAGCCAAACAAACAGGACACAAGCAGCAGCATGTATTCATTCATCCCTGTTTATTTAGTTCACAGTAGAAGTACATCAAAAGTAGCACACCACACCACAACACACCAAACTCAAGCAATCTCACGCGTGGATGATACATAGAGGACGGGAGACACCAAACTCAAGCAATCTCACATCAAAAGTAGCACAACACAACACAACACAACACACAAGACGGGAGAACAGCCGCTCTCTCGCTCGCCCTAATTTATTTCGATCTCTACTGCTAATATAAGGGCAGCAGGGGTCCATATCTGTATCACACCACACCATTAAAGAAGCTCACCGTAGCCTCGATGACAAGCCAACGCAAAGAAGCAAGCAAAGCAAACGTAGGGCACTGGATGTCCACCATGCCAATGCTGTCTGTGCAGGCCGCAAAGACACAAGCAGAGGGCCGAGCATGCATCCATCTGACGACAAACCAAATCAACCAAAACCATGGGTAGGATAGAGAGTTGAAGCAGATAAGCACAGCAGAGAGTAGGCCTCACTGTTCCCTGGCTGTAGGAAAGACACAAGAGATAGATCCGTTTTACTCGTCCGTTCATTTACACACAAACAGAAAAATCAAAAGGCTCATGGGGATCACACACGTACCTCATACGAGCACCGAGCCCCTGAGCATTCTCTTCTTGTAATACCGTGGGTGGGTCGGCTGGTAAAGGATGGTGCAGGAACCTGGCCTCCAACCCATCCCACTCCAGCCTGTCCCACCATTCCTTCTCGCAGTCGCACTCCACCTTCTTGCTCCTGTTGTGGGCGTCGCACTCCACCCTCATTCTCCAGTCGTAGGTGTAGCTGACGGCTGGCAGGCGCCTGAGGCTCCAGCAGCCCCTGACCTTTATGGTCTCGAGGTTGGGCGCACCCAACCGTGCATTCCCGCCGCAGATGCTGCGCAGCCTGGGCAACTCGTTCAAGTGGATATGCTTCAGGCTCGACAATTCCACCTCGTACGTTGACTCCCGTTGCTTGTCACTGCTTTCGGCACCAGAATAATAAAAGGAAAAGATCTCCTTGAGGTCACTACACCACACGATCTCGAGGGTCACAATGTTTTTCAGGCAGCGACCCATAACTGTCCTGGGCAGGGGAAGTACATGTATCAGCCTAGGGCACGAGTCCAAGTGCAAGAACCGCAGATATACAAATGACAATCTGGAGTATCACCAATTATCAGATAGAACTAAGAAGGATGTTTTGCCCCAGTTCCAAATGAAGCGCACCTTGGGGAGCTGAGAGCCCCAGAATGTACGTAGGTACCAGAATATTTGATCGTTTCCATCAGCCTGCTGTCCACCTTGAGCTACCTGCAGGGGAGCAGGAGGGTGAAGACAGAGTCAAGGTTGGGGCACCGCTCAACTCGGCACCAAAGCAAGGCATTCCATCTTCCCCCTACAGGCCCAGGGATGGCCATGGACAAGGCATCGTGCACATGCAGGCTCAAAACTCCATCACATATAAAATCTGGCATAGCAATACTGGTCATGGTTTCTTTGACACCCAGCGGTGATTTGGTCCAGATCTTGGTGTCTTGTATGTTGATGTAGCACTTCAGCCTTCCATCGAAAGGAGCATCATCGCCACAGCCTTCTCTTGCTTGCAGCAGGTGGTACTTGAAGGTTGTGCTTGTATGTTCATGTAACACTGGAATGCTGTTGTAATTTCCTTCATTATGTTTGCTAACAATGCTACCGCCAGCATCAGTGGTACGATGAGTAGGAGAGGAAATCTCGACATGTGTCGTGCAGTTATCAAAATAGGATCTCATGGGTGCAAGCGACAAAAGGAACCTCACATCCCTCACTGAAATATACCATTCAAACTCATAAGGTGCTTTGCCACCAAGCAGCACCGAAAATGATGACGATGGTGAAGTGCTACCCTCCTTGTTATGTTCATCCCCACCAGGTGGAGTGGTCAACCCTAACCGTGTGCTGGTATCAATGTGCAGCTTATTCAAGTATTCTTTCCTTTTGTCTTGTGATGGCCATAGGATTGCACAAAGCTTGTCGCAGCCAAGTAGATAGAGCTCATCAAGCTTCGGAGTTGTCGTTGCACTGAGGTCTAATGTTTGTACTGCTGTGCCCGATATATCCAGGCTGTAGAGATCCTGTAACACTCCTCTCAAGAATAGATTCTTCAGATTGGCACACCCCCTCAAGGATATCTCTTTTAAACCAACAAACCCGTCGTCGATAATGACAGTCATGACGCTGCTAGCAGTAATGTTGTTGTTGATGCTTCCCGCAGGACCAGCAGAAAAGCTCGTCGCTAGGGGACTAATACTGTTTCCTGATAAGTTGAGGAGCTCCATCTTGTCCATCTCCGAGAACAAGTAGCTTCCCAAGCAACTACTGCAGCGGATGGAAGACTTTGTTACACGGAGCTTGTGAATGTTAGGCAGCCGTCCATACAACTGTCCTATATCCCAATCCTGAGCTCCCATCACATTTAGCTCCCTGAGCTGAGTTATGAAATCCATCATCTGTGCTGACAAGATCCAATCAGAGCATGTGTAGCGCACATCCAATACCCACAGCTTCTGGAAAAAACAGCTTTGTCCTTGGATGTCTGCTTCCTTCGATGCTCTCTTATCCGTGGAGATTTTCTTCTTCTCTTCATTAGGGAAACCGGCTGTACTGCTAACTTCTTGGTCTTCACAGTGGTCAAGCCATAGAAACTTAAGGTTGTGGTAGTAGAGGAATGGAGGTGATGAGAAGCTGAAGGCGCGGCGTGAGAGCTTCAACACTGTAAGATTATTGAAGTCTTGGAGCAACATGTCCGCATTAGGAATGGCACCAACTGGGACCAGCATAAACCCATAAGGTGAAGTCCAGCATGGCATGGTCTTGCCATACCTTACCAGGTGAGAAGGAAAATATTGGTGGTTATAGTTGTAGTAGTCCATGTCCAGTTGTATCTCACGTTGCAAAGCATCAGCAGTTCTCCATGATTCTTCATCATCGTCAGTGTTGACGATGCTGGTGTCTCCAAGAGCTCCCCGCTGCAGCTGCTGCACGATGCCTTCACACATCCAGTAGTTGCAGGCATGGGTGGCCAAATCATAGTCCATCTTGAAGTTGTAACCCATGCAGCATAGCTTCAACATGTGCAAGAAGAAACACTCGGCGACCTGTGCAGTATGGATTCTGATGTTGTTTTCTGCAACTTCTGCAGCTTCTCGACGAACAAGGACATACCAGAGCTCTTGTGGATCTCTCCCCTCAAGGTCAAGGTAGGAGGCCGAGACAAAATGTCGGTCTTCGTCGTCCCAGCGCTGTTATGCAAGGCACTGCCTACTTTCATCCTAGGGTAGAGCCGGAATCTCCCTTGGAATGTCCACAACACCATGTTGTCGAAGTATCCAGATAGAGGGAAGCCAAAGCTGGATAGATCAATCTCCTCGCTGCTCCCGTTGTGGAAAATCACTAGGAACCTGTGGTTCAGCTCCTTTATGCGTCGAAACATTGCCCTGAGAACTTGTGGTATCTCAAGCCCGGAGCCCTGGGCCACACCATGGATATCGTCCTCCTCATCTTGCCAGTCAAACATCTCCATCACCTCAGTGGGAAGCTGCAGGTGTTTTGCAATCTCCCTCTGAAGCACTCTTCTGTTCTCCCACTTGGAGCAATCGATGTGGATGATCTGATCGAAGTGCAATCCGCTGGCTAGGACCTCTGAATCTCTAGTCGCTGGGTGGAGGCGTTCCGCGACGGTTCGGAGGACAGAAGATGCCCCCAACCCGTCCCAGCCGTCAAAATAGATGACATTGTCTCTTCTGCTGGTTCTTCTGCTTGCTCCATTAGCATCTCGCTTGAGCTCATTGAGAATCTGTTGAGCAGCCGCCTCGATCATGTCAGCCTCGATAACCTGATGAATGCACACGTACATAGACCAATCAATAGAAATGAAAGTGGCATCATTAGAATACTTAATGCTAACATGTAAATTGAGAGGCCCATCTGAATCTAGCTTAAACCTAGAGCCCTATAAGGCAAATTAAATCAAGAGCCCTAGACGGAGGTCATAAAAAAAAAGCAAATAAAAATAGAGGTGACACATGCTAAACTGATTTCGTTTTTACCTCAGTACGCTTGATGGATTAGATTAACCAGCAGGCACGTCAGGCTACGGATTCCGTTTTGATGATGGAGATCTAGCCCGTCACTATATTATTGTTCTCTCAGCTGGTCTGGTCAAACATACAGGAATTCTTTTATAATAACAAACAGAAGCATGAAACTAGGACAATTCTATATTACTGTGTCATATATTTACGAGCATTGTAGATACTAGTAGAAATAAAGACGTTACAGATATGACTAGGCATACATGCACTTAAATCATTTCTGGTCAAAAATGGGCAAGCTAATTGAAGAATCTAATAAAAAACTGAGGATATTAGATTGAGTTATAAATTTGAAGGAACGGAAAAACAAATAACATAAAGTGGATAGCATATATTTTCATAGATTGATTATAGTTGTAGCATTTTGTAAGGGGTGTTGTGAATAGCTTGCGCAAAGAGATTGAAAGTTTGTGGAGGGATGATGGCATTTTGTTGGCGTTTTTGTCACCAGCAAATGATTACAGGTTTGCAGCGGGGCAGATCTAGATGGGAGCATACGGAACACAAAAATTATACTGGTTCAAGCCCTCGAGAAGAGGTAATACCCTACATCTAGTGTTTGTGGTTGTATTGCTTGTGCACCATATGCATATGCATGATTGTCAAATTACCGATCAGGAGGTCCCTTACAGCCTGGTACGGTTACAGATACCCAGCATACTGATTGGTTTACATATAAGTTTCCTAGTCGGTCAAAACTAATCCCAACAAACTGAGGTATATGCATGTCTATGCCTTTTACTGCATGTTGGTGAAGATACTATTGGTAGATGTCGGACTCCGAATAGTCGGCCCGGCGCATCCTATGTCTAGTAGACTGAGCTCTCCACATTTAGTCCGAGATGACGTTGATAGCTTGAATGTTGATATTGAAATCTAGTGAAGGAATTAAGTGGGAAATGGTGTGGATAGTTTGCATGTTAAGAGCATGACGCGGCATTTAGTGGGGAAGGACATGGATGATTTGCATGTTGAGATTGAAAACTAGTGGTGCTTTATGAGGTACCAGAACTAAAATGATACCCTGCGCATTATAGCAGAACTTTTTTTAGAAATAACGGTTGCATGTATGAGCCGGACATGCATGCTCTTGCGTAACTGAGCACAAGCTAGTGGAAGAGTCCAATAAAAAAAAATAGAATATTAGATCGAATTGTAAGATGATAGAATGGTGAAAAGTCAGCATCATATGGCTGCTTTATATTTTGATAGATTAAAAAACAGTGATTATACTTGTTGGGAGTGCTCTGCTACCTGCTCATATTATCCCACTATCTTCTGAATTTATTTATTTATTTATATACTATTACCCGAGTGAAGTCTTCATGTCGATTCTTATGAGACATGCTAGAAAAAAGAGACAAATCCTGATAATTATCCGAAAAATAAATATCATCTGACCATCAACTATATAGACCCAATCATTGACAATAACTACAACTGAATCTATACTTTTCATATTAATATCCCTCTATATTATTAGAAACAACATTAAGCAATTCCTAAATCTGTTTCTAGATTCCACCTATGCCATTCTAATTAAAATATAATCTGAAGTAAGACCCTAAAATTATATCTAGAGTAATATATTCTAAAATGCTTGCCTCTATAAATAAATTAAATATATAAAAAACAACTCAAAACATATGTATTGTGTATTATTAGAAGATCAAACATATATAGATGTATGAGAATAAATATATATTTCTATAGAGTAGCAATCATGCACACTGGAAACATGATTATCCATAAGGGGAAAGTGTTCCCCTATTAATTCACATATTAATGATAATGACAATTCATTTTAAATTATATCAATACTCCATAATAATAAATTTGTAAGTTGTTATTTTAATTAAATTTGTACAACTTGACTAAACATTGCAGCATATGATGTTCTTTCATAAAGTTGTTACTTTAAATAAATCTATCAGTTTAACTGTAACAACTCCTTTTTCTTTAAAAAATACTACAACACATATAGTTCTTTCATAAAGTAAATCCAACATCTTGAGCATTGTTGTGCAGAATAAAATGACTATTAATGTCACTGTAGTGACTAAGAGTGCAGTCAACCTAAGATCAATACTTTTAATAAAATAGAAAAATGAAGGTTTTGAATAAAAGGTACAATTTATAAGCTCTAGAATTTCAACTTAACATGTGGATCAAAAAATTGCAGCAACTAGTAAGATCAAAATTTGAAAGCCTAAATTTAGATTCACGACACATAATCTGGAATATTTAAGCTAAAGTTTCAACTAAACAAATATTCAAGACACATGGAGGTGTAATGCAAAGGGTAAAACTTTTAGTTCAGATGTGGAAAAATATTTATCATAATCAGATAAAGATTGTAAAGTACATACATACTGTGTTAGAAAACAAATAAAGAGAGAAACTACACAAGGTAAGTAAGTTTGAGCAGTCATTATAGTACTGATTTTATCCACAAACTTTTAATACTTAATTACCTCAGGACACATGATGGATCTGATTAACCAGCAGCTCGGTCGACTTGTAAGGTTTATGTAGCACTAGCTAGATAAATCTTGTGCAATAATGCTTCAACTGACTGCCTTCATTTCATTTGGAAGCCAATGAAGTGCCATGATATAGTGACTGCAGATACATGGTTATTGCTGCATGCAGTAGATGAGTTGTTCCGGCCGTACGTTTGGATTACAGGTGGATCTAACCCATCGCTTAGTCTGGTGCCTGGTCCAGATCAAGACACAAACATGGAACTAGTTAAGAACAATTATTCCTGCTAGTACCATCACACTGCATGCATGCATCAAAATTTTGTGCTATCATATCTATTCTGCTAGCTTCAGAAAGATGACGTATACTATTTGCAATTGTAAGGGAGTAGACATTTGACAAACCTCATTTCAAGCTGAATTATTGGAACTAGCGGCGAGTAGAACTCGAAGAATTGGCCTGAAAGACAGAACCGACGATGGATGGAAGGTTGTGTGCGTGTGTGTGTGTGAGAGAGAGAGACAGAGACAGAGACAGAGACAGAGACAGAGAGAGAGACAGAGAGACAGAGGCGATGTCTGAGGATCCTAATACAAGATGAATGCTTGCAAAGTAAATGGCCGGCTATCCAAATGAACCAACTTTGCCCCTTTTTTGCAAAAATATGATATGCATGCTTGCAGTGTAGGATGTTTGTTTTGTGGCCATCCATATATCAGATGATTCTTTGCTTGCGTCGGCAGCATGCAGGATTCGATCATTTTTCTAAAGGTAAAGAAAGGTTAAAGAGAGGAAGCATATGGTTACCATAACCACCAGGATTCAGTAAAGTCGACTATGTACTAAAGCACAAGGCTGTCTGGTGTGCAACTGCTAATAAAATCCGGCGGCACTGACTTTAATTTAGTTTTTGTGGTCCTATAGTTTCTGTCCTTTATTTGGATGACACGCGAACTAAAGCACAAAGTAAATAAAGGCAAAACAAAATGCAACAAAGAATGCAACAAAAAAGATGCAACGAAGAACGCAAGGAAGTAAGCATGGTGCACAACTGTTTGGCTTGGTGGATGGCAATGCTAGCTCCTGCGCCATCACAGTTCCTTATTGACAGTGGATTGCTCAATTTTTCTACGGTAATTATTACACAATTTGTTGTGTAAGCAAAACAAATGATTGTAAAAGTGTAGCCATTTCCAATCAAAACGGAAACAACACGATCGGTTGCACGCGGGGCAGAGTTGCCTCCTTGGTACAGGAACCAACCGTATCGGATACAGAGTTGCATTCTGCTGTGGATTCTGTTTTCTTTTGGGTACTTAACGGATCCTGCCATAGCATGCCGACGAGCTAGAGCGCCGCTGCTAGTTCTTGCTGAGCATGGTGCACTTGCACATGTAGGCCTAGCTGAGTGGGCTGATCTTGTTGCTTCCTTGGGCTCGAATGTGTTGTGTTTTAATTGGGTGGCTTGGACCAATTTTATTCAATTAAAATCTACTAAATTTTAAGGCCTAGACTAAGGCCATGTTTAGATTAAAAGTTTTTTCAACCTGATGAATAGTACCACTTTCGTCTTATTTGGCAAATATTGTCCAATCGTGGACCAACTAGGCTCAAAAGATTCATCTCGTGATTTCTAACTAAACTGTGTAATTAGTTTTTTTTTTACCTACATTTAATACTCTATGCAAGCGGCTAAGAATTGATGTGATGGAGAGAGAGTGAAAAAACTTGGAATTTTGAAGGGAACTAAACAAGGCCTAAGGGCTTGTTTTGTTCCAGTACATCACTGATTCACTGGCCACAGCCACAGGTACCGACTTCCTGCTGCAGTGCTGCCCGCCTGCCCCGTCTGCGGCGCCTTTGTCTCGAGTAGTACATCACTGGGCTCTCTGCCCTCTGCTGCGGTGCTCCCGCGACGCTCGAGGAGCTGCGACTATGAAAACGAATCCGATCTTCCCAATTGAAGGCCAACAAGAGAAGCATCAAGATCCATGGAGAATCGAATGACAGAGGGCACAACAGGGGGTCCGAGCAAGGAGCGCGCCACCTGAATCGACAGGGTCCACTAACAATTACCTCATAGAGACGGCTATACCAAATAAGATCAATAGCTCCACACTCCGCTACTTAATATAGCTTCTCAATATACTCCCTCCGTCCCAAAATATATGTCGCTTTCGCTTTCTGAGAAACAACTTTGATAAAATATATATTACAAAAATATTAATATTTATGGTACATA